GCTGCTGCTGCTGCTGGGCGCGCTCACTGGGACTGCATGCGCGTGCGGTTGCGTCGCGGCAGGAAGCGCGCCGCACACACTCACACAATCGTGCACGCACTGCGCTAGACTGGTAGGTATACAGTCTTGAGTACCACAAAAGCGCAGCAGGCAGCATCAGAGAGCGGGATGCAGTGTCAGCTACGAAGAAGGCGGATAGTCACGAGTCCAGTAGTCGTGATGTAGCGCGAGGACCAAAGCAAGCCATGCAAGCCGCGTTCTTCCATCGCGCGCGCGGGTCGTACGTCGGAGTCCTTTCTTTGGTCTCACCGCGCGGTGCGTGTCATCGTGGGGCTGGCTGGCTGGCTGCATTACGTCGCGTGGGTCCAGCCATGGAAGTGGATGATGTGTTGTAAGTCCTCCGTCATGAGCGGTGGGTATGAATGCATACCACATACCAGCCTTCATGATCCTGCCAGGCCAGCTGCCGTCGCCACTCCTTCACAAAAAGCTTTCCTTCTCCACTCCACCTCAGCTTCGCCCCTTTCAACCCTCTGCCATTCTCTCGACCAGTCGACCCATCTTGTGCGCACGCTCCCCCCTCCTCCTCTCTTCCTCTCTTGCCTCTATCTGACGCTCCACCTTTGGGCCCGCGCGTTCATCTTGTACCAAGAGCTTAGCTGCTTGGCCGCCTTGTCCGCGACAGACGACTGAAACATGGCGACGACGGTCGCAAGCAGTGTGAACCCATCTGTGGATGCAACCGCAGCGCAAAGCTCCCCGGCTGGCCTGGAAAGGATTGAGCAAAGCAAGGCAGACGAGATAGGGCAAAATACACACAAAGAAGGAACTCTGATGACCCAAGAGCAAAGCGTAAGGGCGGCTGAGACGTCGAATGCAGGGCTGCAGGAGCGTCCAGCTGAAGAAGAAAGCATGGAAACTCTGGCGGAGACGCCGAACGAGGGCACTTTTCCAACTCAGAGTACGCCTTTGAGCTCCAAAGCAGAGCTGCTCGACGATGCGGGCGCTACGCAGGCTCGTATTGGTCCTGCAAACACCAGACAGGCCTCGGGCTCCCCTCTGATCACGCAGATGGCCCAGACGATGCTGGATGGTAGTCCCTCGCAAAATAACCACACACCGCTACCGCAGTCCGCCTTCTCTACCACTTCTAGCAGCGGCACCAACGACAGTGAGTTGAGGCTTCGCGCAGCGCAACGTGCTGCACAGCTCGTCAAGCTCATTCGTTCCAACCGCCCTGAAACCTGTTTGTCTCGTCTCTACCAGTCCCTTCGTATCTCTTGGCTTCGCCTGCGTCTGCGCTTTCCAGTTCTCACTACACTCCGCTCACATCCTCGGGGTTCAAGAGTCACAATCACCCGTTGTTGGATCAGTCGCCTCTACCCGCGACGCCAGCTGCCGGTCTGGCTCTGAGCGGGGCAGCTCATCGAGGCTCTCAATCCGGTCCTTCGGCCACTTCAAGCGCGAGCGGAGCCTCTGCAGCTGCGGCGCACCAGTTCCTGTCGCAGACAGGCAGGCGCCCTTCAATGACGTCCAGCACGTCGAGCAAATCTTTGGCGCCTTTGTTGGAAGGCGCAGAGGCGCAATATCCTTCGCCTAGCGGAGGATTTGTGCCGCCTCGCGTTGAGGAGAGGTGGAGCCTAGGCCCTGTACCCTCCAAGGTCGCACCCAGTGGCGTAAGCTCTGCCGCTCCAACTTCTGCCGGACAGGGTACGCAGGATGATGCGGTGGCTCAGAATGAACATAGCGAAGCGAGGAAGGCAGGTGCCACTTCTGCAGAAGCATCAACCTCTAGCGCACTCTTGCCAGATGGCCCCACGTCTCAGACTGGGAATGGAAACGTGAGTCTGTTTCAAGATCGAGCTGGTCAGGACAGTGTGAGATGCTGGACTTGCTGCCACTCTCTGAGGCTGGATGCAAAGATCATTGATTACCAGAGCAGCGATCTGACGCTACCTGCTTGTACGCTTCAGAGACCTCTGTCTACCTACTCCACTACATCGGCGGCTTCGGGATCAGGACGTCGGAGTAGCAGATCAGGTGGACCTCCTACTCGGCCTCCAAGCTTGCCTCCTTCCGATGCCGCAGCAGGGATCCAAGCCTCGGGTCTCCAGAGCTCGTCGAGGCCCGGGTCGCGCAGAACAAGTCGGGTACTGGACGGCGGTACATCAGGTGTCAGCCCGAAAGGTCTCCGACCTCTTTCGACTCACGCGCCGGGCTCGTCTGGCGAGAGCAGGAGGTTGAGCACTTCGGCCTCCCCGAGTGGGGCCGCGTCTAATCCAGGAAGCAGTCCGCTTCGACATTCGCGCGTCGTCTTGCCGCCGGCTGCCACAGTGGAGTCTCTTGAGACCGAAGCGCAGAGTGCGCAGCAGATGGGAGGATCTAGCGAGAGCGGATCGAGGGATTCACAAAGCGCAGGAACCTACCCTCCGCCAAAGAGAGCATCTCGAAGAGAATCGCAGCAAACGGACGAGGATGCTTTGGCAGCCGTCTCTTCCGGACGCTCGGCTAGCCCTGGGCCTCGTGCCGATCTCTCGCGACGAACGTCGAAAGTGGAAACGTTCGCTCGTCAATCGGTCACATTGTCCATGCTACGAATCAGAGACTTTGGATTTCCAGAGGAAGATCCTCGGCATTTTGGAGCAAGGGACGTGTCTGCGCCTCAACAGGGCGGCAGAGGCGGTGCGGGTGCAGGTGCGAGCGGAATGTTTGCAGGAGAGGCGGGAGAAGAGGAAGAGAGCGCGTGGCCGAATGCGGATGCCTCTACGATGTCGGACGAAGAAGAGGAGAAGGAGGGTGACGATGGTGGGCCACGACCCGGTATTTATTCCGCAGCGTACGATTTCCAAGCCGAGTCGGAGCACGAATTGACGGTGGTTTCGGGCACCAGGGTGAGGGTTGTTGGAGCGCTGGAAGGAGGCTGGGCTATTGCGGAGATTTATGCAGAGAACAAGCAGGGCGATGTGACGGGTCAGGAAGAAGAGGGAACGAAGAGGGGTCTGGTACCTGAAGCCTACCTTGAGTGGTTAGAAGAGGATACTTGAGAGGGCCTAGTGATGACAGAGACGTTTCCCTGGCAATTTAAGCGCCACCACAGTCGCTTCCCTGGCAATATTGGCGGCGCAACAGTATCTTGCTGCGCAATCGAGTACTGCAACCAGCCCTGCAATGGTCATGCTTATCCCTCTTGACCTCACCACGCATCGAACGTGATCCTGAGCGATCGTCTGCGAGCATTGCGGGCAAATGGCAAAGAGCGTGGGCATATCGAAAGCGAGCTGCATCATCATCTGCGCCTTGCATATCCTTTTTGCTCGTAACGCGCTTGCCGATTCGTGGCGGGCTAGAGCATGTAGCACAGGGAGAGTCTCAATGGTGCGAATCAGGCGTGCTATCTACGCGAAATTGAACAACGCCCCCAACTGCCCCCACAAAACGAGCTAGCTGCAAATGTACGACGAGGAGATTGTTCGTGCAGACAAGAGGGCTTTATTTGCATGAAGCAAAAGTGGGCG